ACTACTACTACTACTACTACTACTACTACTACTACTACTACTACTACTACCACTACTACTACTACTACTACTACTACTACTACTACTACTGCTGTTATTGCTGCTGTTGCTGCTGCCGCTGCTGTTGCTGTGGCTGCAGCTGCTTTTGTTTATGCTGCAACTGAACGAAAACACCGCCGATGCGACGCGTGACGCCTCCTTCCTCATTCCTTCCCTCCACCCCTCCCTTGCTCCCCTCCTGCGGAGACGGGTGGCGGGAGCCGCGGCGGTGGGTCGCCGCCGAAGAGGCGCGGCCCCGCGCAGCGCGCGCGCGAGCCCCGCGGGGGTGCGGCAGGCTACCCTTCCTCGTCACAACCTCGCGCAGCCTGGGCGCGGCGGGGGCAGCTCAGGCTCGCGCGCCTGCGGCTCCGGCCCGAAGGCCCCAGCACCGCCGTCCTGCTTCAGCCAGGGGGCGGGCCCGAGCGCGCTGTGGTGCCAGAAGGTGCGGCCGCAGGCCCCATGATGCGAGAGCCAGCCGTCCGGCGCCTCCTCGGGGCACGGCAGCGGGCTGGGGGCGCCGCTCCCGGGCGAGGAACCCGAGGCGTCGCTCTTGGGCGCGGCGCCTTGGCCGCCGGGGTCCCAAGGCGCCGGGCCAAGCGCCTCGTGGTGCCAGTAGGTCCGGCCGCTCGGCTCGGTGTGGCAGACCCAGCCCTCTGGGCGGGCGTCCGGTGCAGGCAGCGGGGCATCAAGGCTAGCGCGGGCGATCCAGGCCCTGCCTTCCGCCCGTGCCACCGCAGCGCCCACGTCCAAGGGTTCCGCCTTTGCGCCACCGCTGCCGCAGCGCGCGCAGGCACGCCAGAGGCCCCCCGCGCACCGCCGGCGCACGCAGCCCTGGCACTCCTGACGCGCCAGCATGCAGCCCTGGTCGAGCCGCTGCACTGCGGAGCGCGTAGAGGCCTCGGCAGCGGCCAGCACCTCCTCGGGGTCCTCGTTGACGCTGAAGCGGAGGGCGACGTGAGCCACGGGCTGCCCCGCGGGCGCGCTCGCGCCGCAGGTGCCCCCTCGCACGTGGGCCAGCGGCGCCACGATCACGGGGCTGCTCCAAGTGACGCCGCCGTCCGCGCCGCGCCGGCCGTCGACACACGCGGGCAGCGCGCGGTGGCGCAAGTCCACGGCCACCTCCCCGATGTCCGAGACGCCGCCCTCGACGAGCAGCGGGCCGAGTCGTACCTCCGTCCTCGCGCGCAGCCGCAGCCGCAGGCCCGTGCCAACGATGTCGCTGCTGCGGAGGGCGAACGTCAGCGTGTCCCTGGCGAGAGGTGGAGAGGATCCACACCCGCACCCCGTCCCTCCGGGGAGGTGGATGAGGGGGAGGAGGAGGAGGAGGAGGAGGAGGAGGAGGAGGAGGAGGAGGAGGAGGAGGAGGAGGAGGAGGAGGAGGAGGAGGAGGAGGAGGAGAGGGAGGAGGGGGAGGAGGGGAAGGGGGAGGAGGAGGAAACGGAGAGCAGCAGGGAGCGAGGAGGGGGAGGAGGAGAAGGAGGAGGAGGAGGAGGAGGATTGCTCCACCCTGGAGGGTCATTGCACGGCCCGTGCCCGACACCAACGCGTCCTTTTTGTCCCTCCTCGCTCGTTCGGTCCCTCGGCCTGGCCTGTCATTTCAGTCCCCCCGTGTCGTTTTTCGTTTTCCTCCGTCGTCCCGCTCGCCAGCCCCAATATGGTCGGGCCGTTTTCCCAGAATGTCCCCCCCCCCGCACATATACACGGTGACGCGGGGGAGGGGGGGGGGGCGACGGTCGCACCCTCTCCGCGGGACAAAAGCCGCCAACTTCGAGCTTCGTGGAGGAGGAGCACGAGGAGGAGGAACACGACCAGTAAACCCAAGACCCATCAACGATATTGCAATGAACCCTCCCTCCGAATTCCCTCTCCGTGAACTTCTACATGGATCCGTTGTCGCTGAATGAAATGCCCCGTTGGAAGACAGTTGTTTGGAAATCTGGAACTGTGCCAAAAAACAGCCATGGGACTTATACGCCGCGAATCACCGTTACTGTTGCGCCCTGACAATCCTGAAGCCCGCCAGGCACCATGCCTTGGACTTCAAGACTTGCGCCCTAACATTGTGACACCGCGCCAGAACACCTTTTTGGGAGACTAACCACCAGAACCCTTGAAACGTTTGCACACTCTTAAAACTAATGGGCGCGGCGCTAAAGCGAGAAACACATGTTGAAAAGGAACCGCCCTCCATCCGTGAAACAACTGCGACATGTTTAAAAAAAATGTGCGCGGCGCCAAAGCGAAAACCACATTCTGAAAACGAACAGTCCTCCATCCGTGAAACTCGTGAACATGTTTAGAACGAGCGTGCGCGTCGCTAAAGCGAAAGCCACATGTGAAAAACAAGCCGCCATCATCCGTGAAAGCATCGCACATTATCTCAACGAGACTGCGCGGCGCTGAAGCGAGAGCCACATTTTGAAAGCGGACCGACCTCCAACCGTTAAACTCTTGAAAACTCAAGCTTCAGGATTATAAATGGTAAGAAAGACTCAGGCGAAACGCCCGGCCCGCCCATTCGCCCGGCCTCGGGGTGCGACAAGGACGAGTTACTCATAAGGAAACAGGAAAGGAGGAGGAGGAGGAGGAGGAGGAGGAAAATGAAAAGGAAAAGGAGGGGGAAGACAAGGGGGAGGAGAAGGAGGAGGAGGAGGAGGAGAACACGGGGATGTGTTTCCAAAAAACTCGTCTGTGACGATGCCGAAAGAACTCCCGCTGGGCGCAGATGCTGCTGGCCATGCTCCCCCGGCACACGTGGCCTGGGGCCCCATGGCCACTCGGAGATCCAAAGATCATGCGCCAGGGAGGCGCCACCCCCACAAACAACCCCAGATCGACCCTCATCGCGACAACCACCGCGCGCCCGAAAGCGCCCCAACTCACGACGCGGTGCGCCGACGAGGCAAGGTTTGCTATGCCCGGGGGGGGGGGGCACGCTTCTTACCGAACAAAGCGTACCACGCCGCCCTGCTACGGGGAGACACTCGCACCGACGGCGTAAACTGACATCCAGTGGTCCGCCCGGATAGATTGGGTCCGAGCTGGGCCCCTTCCATGAGGGAGAACGATAAGGGGGGGGGGCCTAGCTTAAGGGAGGGAGGGGGGGAGGAGGGGCCTCGCTCTCACTCGTGCCCCCTCCCTCGATCACCTCCTGCGCGTCAAGGCGGAGGCTCCTCGGAGAACTAACTCAATCGAAACGACCGATGATCTGGAATCGCCGCCTATCGCCCGCCGCGACTGCGGGCTGTCGGCAGGCATGTCAACAGTGAAACTAGGGAAAACGGGTTATACCCCCCCGCGTTCACACTCATACTATTTTCTCGAACTAAGCGCGTCTACGAGCCGACGCTGGCCCAATACAACAAAACGCAAGGCATACGTAAAGATATAGAAGCGCCGCTCACTGTGCCCCGAGCGACTGGGTTGCCATGCTGGCCTATCACTTAGAAGATCGCCCGGCCGTCGACCGGCCCCAGAGCTCCCACTTCTGCCTCTCGAAGCGGATATCCTTCAACTCCGCGCGGATCCCTTTATCCTGCGACCACCAGAACGCGTCTCGGTCCACGAGCAGCGCGTCGCAGAGCCGGCAACGCACCTTCTCCATGCACTGGCCGGTGCCAACCGCAGTCAGCTGACCCGCTGGACGAAGACGCTCATCTGGATCAAGGCCGCACGCGCTCCGTGACTTGCCTCTTCCATTATCGCTGCCCTTGCCCTTCGGGGCCGCTTCCGCGCCGCGACTCGCTCGACGGCGCTCGCTGCACCCCGAGACCACCAGCTGGCGCGCCTCAAGGATGTCGCCCCCCAGCACGTCACCGAGGTCGTGCCCCACCTTCTTGCGGGGCGCTTCAAGCGCTCCCCTGCCCATGGGCAACCCTGTCATCTTCTTCTTGGATGTCGGCCCCCCTGGCTGCTCCGCCTAACCTGGAACCTCGAACCACTCGCCACAGTCGTCGTAGACGGGGATGCTGTGCTTCGCCTTATTTGCGAGTCCTCGGCTGACGCTCGCACTGGCCCACGCCCATCTTGCGCACCGCGTGCGCCACCAGCGCTGCACCAGCACCGGCGGCGCCTGCCCCGATCTCCTCGGCCTCGGCACCTGCGGCGCCCATCATGCAGTTCCCCATCACGTCGCCCAGGTCCGCAGCACAGTCTGGATCTGCATTCTCGCCCGACTCCACGAGCACACCATCGTCCGAAATGACATTCGTGCACTCGTGGTGCTCAATGTCCTCAGTCATGTCCGTCTTCTTCAGGTGGTGTTTCCCCGTGATCTCCTTCTCGCAGCGCTCGAGGGCCTCCTCGGTCGGCGCGTAGATCGCCAGCTACTTACGCACGCGGGACGGAATCCCCCGACGCTTCGCCACCTGGCCCAGCCCCGACCAGCCGACCATGTCTTCGAGATTCTCGCAGTAGATGTCGCCAAGGCGCCGACCCAGCACCATCCGCATATGAAGATAGTGTTTAGGAGCAGGTCGAGCCACATGCGCGCTGCACCTCAGTCCCGCAATGCAGCCCTCAAAGCACGCGTAGCCTTCTCGCGCGAATGGCTGGTCAGCAGGTCGACGGCGACGGGTGAACTTCGAACGGTAGCGCTCGCCCCTGCGACCCTTCAGCTCCATCCGTTGCTTGAAAATGATATGATCCGCCATGGGGTCCTCCGTCAAACGCCACTCGCCCGCCCCGAGCACAAACCTCATGCAGTCACAAGCGCGGACGTCCTGCTTCGTAAGATTGTCGGCGAGCATCTGCGTAGTGTTCACCCACTTGCTCACCACGCTGTTGAACTCAATGTCGTTCCTGAGCGACTCGATGTCGATGAGCAGCCGCTTCTCGGACGGAACCGCCTCTCGCTTCTGTATCAGTTCATAGAGCGACTTGCAGTCCGTGACCTCCACCATCTTGATCGTCTCGACGTCGCCCACGTGGGCCCGGTAGCCCAGCCCGCGGTGCAACTCGACCAGGTGCTGCCGCAGCATGTCGCCGCTCTCGACCGCCCCCAGAGCTGCCGTCGTCTCGGCCGCCAGGGCACTTCGGACCATCCGCTTGATGCGGTGTGATCGCCACAGCATAAGGGTGACCCTGGTAGCCCTCCCCAGTAGGAATTGATCAGTGTTGTCCGCATGCAACATGACCAGACCCGCCAGGCTGGCGGTCTTCGTCTTGCCCACGTTGCCGTGGCTCGAGTCGCCCACTGCCACCACAATCACGCTCTCCATGTCGACATTCTGGAGCATGAAGTCCACATGGTCGGTCTTGGCGTCGCTCACGAGCTTTTTGTGATCTAGCAAGTCCTGCACCTCCAGGTCGCCATCATGAGCCCTCGCCTGGCTTTCCACCAGCTGGAACGCCAAATCCATCCGAGTCGAATGGACCAACCAGTGGATCTGGCCATTACCGCTGTGAAGCATCGTCCTTTCCTCTGCCGCGGCCTTCGCCTCCTTCGTCTTCCGACGCTCGGCCGCGATGGGAATATTCTCGATGCTCTCCGCGAACTCGTTTTGGCTGCATGTGATCGCGCCGCTATCGTCCTGCTTGAGGAAGCGCCCGCAGTGGTGGAAGCCCACCCTCGCCGTCTGCCACTTGCCGCAGCGTGCACCTTCCTCAGCTGGGCCACCTGATTCGCGAAGAACTCGGGAGACCCCGCGACGAAATCGTCGTCGACGCGCGCCCCGATCAGACCAATCAGCTCCCCCCTCTCACCGTGGAAGATGAGGGAGCGGGCACAGCATGGATCTCGAAGCCCCGGGAAGCGATTGGATGGCGTCGCCAAGCTCCCCGTGCCATAGCAGAGGCGCATCGCTCAGCCCATAGATACCCTTCCTTCTTCGCCGTGAGGATGGCCCCTTCCGGGATGAACGGCCACCCCAGCTCCGGCACCGCAGGCACGCCGCCCACGGGAACGCGAAAGTACACGCGCCTGGAGCTGTCGAGGCACCCCCCACTCCCCCATTCAGAAATGCCGAGTCGACGTCGCCCTGCCCGAGGCCCCAGCCTGGTTGGCTGGCAAATTCTTGGATGATAACCGCCGTGGCGGCGCCCGCGAGCGTCGGCGCGTTCGTCTGCAACTCCCCCACGAGCAGCTGCTTGTCCGCGTAACCCACGACGACGTTCCGTGACTTCGCCTCCAGCGGGCGCCGCTCGCACGAGAGGCCGCCCCTCGTCGGCTCATCCTCGTCGGCGCGGACGCGCCTCACTGGTAAAATATCCGCCGTATCAACGCCCACAAGCTTTTCCTTTCTCGGCCACTCGAACGCGTCGCACTAAACCTATATGCGCCACCCCCCCCAGGTCGCCCGCGTCGAAGGCGCCCTTCCATCCTGGCGGGATGCTGCGTAGCTCCTGCCCTTGCTTAGGAGTGGAGTGACCTGCTTCTTCACGACGTCGGTCCTCCTCGCCAGAGATGCGCCCCTCCGACGGATCCTCATTCACCTCCAGGAAGACAGCGTCGTCGACCGTCTCGTTGCCCTCAATTCTCGGGAGTCGACTCTGCTTGAAAGCCTCGCGACGCACTCTGAGTGCACCGAGATCTGCCTCGAAATCGCCGGGGAGAGATCGCTCGCAGGGAGATCTCTCGAGGCCAAGTTGCGGCGCAGGTTCTGGCTGTCCAACTTGTCTGGGTCGTTGTTGCGAAGTGCCTGGCGCAGCAAACGCGCCCAGGTCCGCGGCGCGCCCCCACCCGGCTGCATCAGGTACAGGTGGGCCGCAAGCTGTACCACCTGGCATGCCATGTCCATCTCCAGGTAGATCTTCGGCTTCCACATCTTGCATGCCGTGTCCTTCTCTGAGTAGTGGTGGCACTTCAGGTAGCACTCCAGGTTCAACCGCATCATGCTCCTGAGGCTGCTTCTCACGCTTGGGACGATCTGCGAACCTCCTCGGGGATAAAAAATAAAAAAATGAAAAAAAAAAAAAAAAAAGAGAGCGAGAAAAATAGAGAGACAAAAAAAATCGGGGGAGACGGTGGAGCCTCCTCGGCCCGCGGCGTTTGGCTTCTGGCATGTCGCCCGCGTCGTCCTCGCCGTCCGAGTCGCCGTCGTCCTTCTTACGACGCCTGGTAGGCTGTCCGCCGCCCCCGTCAAGCCCAGGCCCGCGCTCGCCCACGAAGCCCTACTGGAGGGTATGTCGTCCACGCCATTGCGACAGCTGCCTTGCGAGGTCCCCTTTCTTTACCATCTCTGCCTCACCGCGAGAGGCATGCCGCACCTGCTCGGGCGCCACGAGCACCGGCACTCCGCGGTAGCTGAGGCGCAGCCTCGCGCGGCCCTCAGCCGCCAGCACGATGGCCGGGCCGCGCCACCCGCGCTCGCCCTGGAGCCGCCTCGACTTCACGCGCTTCACCTTACGCCAGTAGAACACCGGCGGGCCCGGCACGAACGGCCCGCGCGGCGGGCGAACTCGACCAATGGCGGCCGTTCTCGCGGCGTCGTCGCTGTCCAGCTCGACGAACACCCGGTTCGCCGCGGCGCGAATCTGCTCGGCCCCTCTGGGGCCATCCTCGAAGAGGGCTGCGCTCTGCGCTGCCAGCTGCCTCTGGTCGCCCTCCATCGCCTCGATCAGCGAGGCCCGGATGTTGGGCGACCGCCCCAGCACGCACTGGCGGGGCGCGAAGCCGCCCCGCCAGACGCGGTTGTTGTTGCACGCACTCGCTATCACCGAAGGCACCACGGACGGGCTGTCGCCCTCTGTAAGCCGCACGCCACGGCTCAAGCGCTGGAAGTGGTCCTTGAAGAGGTCAATGGCCCGTTCCACTCCGCCTCTGAGCTGAGGCGCCTCGGCCGGGACCGGCCTCATCAGGATGTTGCACTTGTCGCCGATCTCCACGAACCGCTGCGCGACGCAGCCCTTCGCGGCGTCGCAGTAGAGCACCTTCGGAGAGCCAGCCCACGACTGCCATCCTTGCGAGATACAGCGAAGGCTCTCCTCGCCCGCGATGAACCGCACTGCCGCGGCAGGAGCGATGACTCTGAAGCTCGACGCGTCGTCCAGGATCACCGTGGCCATTAACAGCGCCTTGTGTGAGAGAACCACCTCGGCTTCGTCGAGAAACACGTTCTCGTTGAACTCCGTCGAGAGCTGAACTCCTCGGAGAGCTTCAGGTCGGCCGTCCTCGCGGCGTCGGGCCTGCCGAGCTCCTCACACACAACGCAGCCCAGCTTGTCCACCGCGTCGAGCACCTTCTGCGACGCCACGCAGGACTTCAGGCGCAACTTCAGCGCGTGGGCCGACGGGCGGCTCAAGTCCAGGTGGAGCTTCATGAGCGCGCCCCACTGAGCCGCGGCGATGTCCGAAAGCTTGTCTCCAAAGCCCTCGCCCTCGCGATGTAGGTCTCGATGCGCTGCATCTGCTTCGCGATCGCCCGGCTGGAACGCTTCCGACCGGCCGCCGAATAGAAGCACCGTCGCGGAGAAGGGCGCATGCACCTTCGGCCACTTCACATAGATCGCGACTACCGTGTCGGCAAGGTACCTAGCGCCCAGCTCGATCGTCGCGAACCGTGGGTCGTCCGCGCAGGCGTCGGAGGAGTCGGCCAACACCCCCTTGTCGATGTACATCGGGTAGATGCGCCGCACAGCTCCACGAGCCAGCGGCATAGCCTCGCTCCGCCTCAGCACGCGCACGTCAAACAGATCCTTCCTCAATTTGAACTCCTTGGCCACTGCGCGCACGGTCTGCGGGCTCGGAACCTTCGCCACCCTGCCCCCGATGCCCAGCTGCTTCAAGTCAGTGCGCCGCGCGAGCTCGCGGACGCCAGCGCCCACTAACGTCTTGCCCAGGTCGCCCGGCCACGCGCTGGCCCACGAGAGCAGAGCGCCTCGCCCAACCGCGTCTGCATGCTCCCGGCCCTGGTCGCACGCGCGGTCGAGC